AAAGCACCACAGACCAGGGGCTTTAAAACAACAAAAATGTATTGTCTCCCAGTTCTGGAGGCCAGAAGTCCAAATCCAGGTGTTGGCAGGGTCATGCTCTGTCTGAAGGTTCCAGGGGAGAATCTGATCCCCGCCTTTCTCTGAGCTTCTGCTGTTGCTACAGTCCTCAGCACTTGTTGGCTCGTAGACCCCTCATCACACGGCCTTCTTGTGTGTGTGTCTTCTCTTCTTTGAAGGACACCAGTCATATTGGGTTAAGGGTCCACCCTATTGCAACATGACCCCATCTTAACTTACTTCTAAACTGCCTCTGCAAAGACCCTATTTCCAAATATGATCACATTCAGAGGTACCAGGGGTTAGGGCTTGAACATATCTTTTGGGAGGACACAGTCAGCCCCTAACGGTAAATCACTCTGCGTGGTTTCCAGCACGGAATAGGTTTTCCCTAAATGAGAGCTGTCACTCATCATGCTAGAAAGACCCAGCACAAGGCCCCCCTTCCCCATGACCTGCCGAGTTGGGCATCTCTCCTCCGGGCTGCTGGTCCCTACTTACAGTCTGCTGCTGGCCAGGCTCGGTGGACAGTTCTTTGTCTTCATGTCTGTTCTAAACGGAGACAGGTTCTCTTCAAGGTCGTGAGCGCCGGGACGCCTGTTGCCTGCTCACAGGCTTGTCTCATTCAACTCTGAATTCCTAGTCCCAATATGATGTTGTGTCCATCATGACACACATTAGATGCTCAAGAAATCCTTGTGGAATGAATGCCCGATTAAGGAGATGGCGTTTTTTTTCCAGATGTGGATTTGACTAGTGGAGTTTGAGCTTTGAATTTACACTTTCCCCCCAGCACAACCCGCACTGTCTTCTCTCCACTAAAACATATCACTGTTCTTGCTTTTCCAGAAAGCTCTGGTCCTCTGCCTTCTCCCTGTCCGAAGAGGAGCTGCTCGGGATGAGGCAGGAAGTTCACGGCTGCTTCGCTCAGATGGACAGGAGCTTGGCCCTTCCCAAAATCCGGGCCCGAGTCCTGCTGCAGCAATTTCAAACCGCATGGCGAGAAGCAGAGTTCCTGAAATTGGACCAGGCGCTGGCCGCCCCTGAGCTGCAGGTAGGATGGGCATCTCGGGGCCTCGTGGGTGCAGAAGTGGGGCCTTCTCCGGCGGTTGATACTGTAGGATCTCGCTCCGCCACCCGCCCTCAGCTCATCTCCCACCCTCTCCTCTCGGGCCCTGTTGGCATCAGCTGTTCCTGGAAGCACCTTAAGTTCTGTAGTGGACACACTGGTACCTGGACTTTGCACTGTCCACCAGTGGCCCTGAGTCTCTACCACTCACGGCTCACAGCTGCGCCGCTCTCCGGAGCATTCCCCTCAGCGATGGGAGCCACCTGCCCTGAAAGGTGACTCTTCCTCCTGCCCCCTCCCTTGGCCACAGCCAGTGACCCACTCAGAGTACTTCTGTAAGTGGCACAAGGAGGATGCTCAGCTCAGGTGGAAAAGGGCATCTCTCACCCTGGGCCTCGGAGGGTGATGATTGACAGATGCCTGTGGTGAGCACGTGTTATGGGCCACAGACGAGGCAACTCTTGGGTGCAGGGTTTACTCTGGAGCCCCTTATGGACCAGTCAAGGCCAGACGCTACCTGAGACCTCCACCATGCGTGGCCCTTTCCCCCTCCTGTCCTGGTTCCCTCACCCCCTACGCCTTGCTCAGAGGTTCTCTCTCCGGAAACTGCGTGCACCCCAGTCCCTGCCTTTGGCTCTGCCTCTGGGGAATCCCACCTGAGACAAGGCCTTTGGACTTGCTGTTTCCTCTGCCAAGAACATCACAGGGCCAGCTCTTTATGGTCTCTTCACATCTCAGTTCAAATGTGTCACCTGCACAGTGGTCTTCCCTGAGCACGATCCAAGATCACCACTTTCCCAGGCATCCTTTATCACATGCTGCGTTCCCGCGTCTTCAGAGAGTTGATTGCTATCTGCAATGCCCTGGTTTCTCGACTTACTCACGGTCTGTGCTCCCACTGACAGCAAGCTCCCTGTTTGTAGTACCCGTTCACCACTCCATCCCAGCACCTAGGAGGTGCCTGGTGCGTAATAGGGGCGCAATAAATTTTATTGACTGAACCAACCAACCATCCACCGGATGTGGGCAGAATGCAGGGACTTCCCTTGAGTTGGTATTATGTTGAGATTGAAAACATTTCGAATCACTTACACTTCCAGTAGCTCATCGGTGGTTCACAGCAGGGCCAGGAGGTAGATATTTTGTCCCCATTCTACAGATGAAAGCACCAACCAGCAGAGGAAAAGTGATTGACCAACGTAGGAGGAAGTAGAAGGACTCGTCTTGGAGCTGGTGCTTTCTGACTTTAAACCTACTGCTTCTCCTTGAGGAGAAAACAAAATTCAGGCACATCCTTGGTGCTCTCTGCCCAGCTGTAAGTTCTACCATGATCTCAAGACCCCCTGTGGTCTGACCCCTGATCAGTCACGTGCTGGTAAACTGACTTTCATTGGGAGTTCAGAGTTCCTGATTTGTAGCATTTGCCTATTTCCCTGGTGTAAATACTCCTTCCAAGGCCAATTTCAGGCTACCGACTTGACATCACTGTGCGTGGGGCCGGAAGGGATGCACACGATCTGCCCCACCCCCGCCCCACTCTGGCTTCCCCCGCTTCCAGTGCCAGTCCTTGCTCTGGGCTTCAGGGTCTTACCCACCAGCCTAGCTCTGTTCCTAAGAGGGGTTGACCCCCAATTTCCTCTTTTTGGTATTATCACCATTAGATCAGGAGATAAAAACTATAGTTCACTCATGGGATTAGCTGAGCCCAGTCCGAGTTTTTAAAGACATTGGGTGCAGGAGTCAGGAAGCTCACCATCTAGCTCTTAGGGCTCCCATGATGTGGCTGAGGCCACCGATTCTGTTCTGGCCTCAGTCTCCTCCTCTGTCAAATGGGGGTCTCTGAACTCAGTGAATTGCTGTGTACGTGCTTGCTCCCTCTGAGTGCGCTGGGGCAGGCCCTGAGGACATGGGGGTCTTCTCTTGCATTATCACCACGGCCATAGGCGCCGGGTCAGGGTCTGGTGGGCAGGCCTGAGTCCAGGTCTAGAGCAGGCTCTGGTAGATCATGACAGTGGAAGAGTGGAGGAAGGGTGGGTATGTGAGCCGGGAAGGGAGGAGGACTGGCCCTCATGGGGAGTGGCCACCAGCCACGTACTGCACCAAGCATCTTGGATGTGGCGTGTGCTGTGCTGGTCACGCTACATCATGCCGCACTGCATGGTGTTTTGTTTTGCTATGTTATGTCATGTCCTATTGTTATATCCTCATTTATGCTACATTCTGCTATAGCATGTTGTTATGCTCTATCCTGTTGTGTTACAGTATGCTGTATTGTTATATTTTTCTGTTTATTATGTTAGATTATGTTATATTTATGTTCCATTGTGTTATGTGCTTGCAGTAATCCTATGAGGTAGGTATTATTAGCTCCATTTTACAGGTCTGGAAACTGAGGCTCAGAGAGTGTACTACACTCATTCATTCATTCGCTGAATATCAATTTACTGAGCACCCACAACCTCTTCTCTTTTTTAATTATTTATTTCTTTTCTTTCTCTTTTTTTTTCTCTGGCTTTGTTGGGTCTTCGTTATGGAAGCACGGGCTTCTCTTTGTGGCGTGCGGGCTCCAGGCAGGCTCCAGAGTGCATACGTGGGCTCTATAGTTTTTGCAGTACATGGACTCTCTCACTGAGGCGTGCGAGCTCAGTAGTTGTGTTACGCAGGCTTCGTTGCCCCGCCACATGTGGGATCTTACTTCCCTGACCAGGGATCGAATCTGGGTCCCCTGTGTTGGAAGGCAGATTCTTTACCACTGGACCACCAGGGAAGTCCCACACAACCTCTTCTTCGACTCCTCTCACCCTTGCTCTGGGCTTCAGGTCTTCGGGGTCTGGAACCTTCTATTCCCACATTTTCACACTCCTGACACCTTGTCATGCAGGGCTCAGCTGCAATGTCACTTCTTTACATTTGTGAGAAGCTGGTGTGTGTGTAGGTTGTGCAGACTGTTATTCTAGGAGGACGGTATGTGTTAAAGCCCACGCACAATGCCTCCTTGAACGCACGCATACGGATGTCCTCAGCAGCTGTTCACCCCTGCAGACGTGTCCCCATCCGCCTAATGTAAGAGAATATCCGTCTCCTTGTCTTCACGGCACTCACCAACCTTCTGAGAGTGTCTTGGTCGGTTATTTGTTTTCATGTTTACTGATTTTTTCCTCTGCTGTTTTGTAAGCTTCCCAAGGACAAGGGCCTCTTCCGTCCTGTGCCTGCTCACAGAGGCTGACGGGTTGAGGTCCCCCGCTGGAGAGGAGGTGGATACAGGTGGGGCCACTATCTGTCTGACTGCAAAGCTCCAGCTCTGCCCACGAGCATCCCTCTCCTCCCTTTGGGGGGACAAGCTCCCAAAGTATGCCAAGACCGAAGGCCCATGAACGGAGTTCATTCCAGGAGAGTGTTCATCTCTCCTCCCCTCTCTGGCTAAGACAGCTGTGCGGTGCCAAGAGCTGCAGGAGCCTCTCTGGGCTTGGGGAGACCAGGGGCTGCACCAACCTACTGGTGATCACTTTCTCGCCCATGTTTTCTCCCCTCTCTCCAGCCACAGTCCAAGGCAAGGAAGCCACGCTCCAAGAGCAAAAGCAAGACAGACCTTTTGAAGAAGTGCACTGAAGATAAAATTCAGCTCTTTGAGGAACAGGCCCCCGAAGACCTGGTTGAAAAGGTCAGTGTTCGATCTGTCACTCCTCATAGCACATGGCAGGGCTGGCAGCCGCCCAGTTTAAGGGCACACAGAGCCCTTGGGGGCTGTGACTGTCCATCTCCACCCAGCACCTGTTTTTTTCTTTTTACCATCTTTATTGGAGTATAATTGCTTTACAATGGTGTGTTAGTTTCTGCTGTATAACAAAGTGAATCAGCTGTACATATACATATATCCCCATATCTCCTCCCTCTTGCATCACCCTCCCACCCTCCCTACCCCACCCCTCTAGGTGGTCACACAGCACCGAGCTGATCTCCCTGTGCTATGCGGCTGCTTCCCACTAGCTATCTATTTTGCATTTGGTAGTGTATATATGTCCATGCCACTCTCTCACTTCGCCCCACATTCCCCTTCCTCCTCCCCACAGCACCTGGTTTTTACATTGTGTTCCTGCAGGTGGGACCCGCCCCACCCCCACCCCCACCCCTTTTCACCTGGTCCTTCTGCCTGGAACCCTCTTCCTCCACTTCTCCCCCAGGAGGTCTCTCTCTGGTCCATTCTTCTGGCCTCATCTCTGGTGCTGCCTCCGTGGCCTGTGGTTGCCACCACCCTTGTGCCTGGCTCTGTGCTGAGGGGTTCACTTGTGCTGCTTCACTTCTATCTCCGCATTTATCTTGCACACCCTCCTCTGTGCCCCACAAGCAACCCAGCCTCCCTCACCAGCCCCCTTTTGTTACACTTCTGTTTCTGCGTGTACTGCGTATGACCACGTGCTGCTTACCCGTGTCCTTCCCTCTTCTTGGATTTACCTTTCCACCTCTTTTTACCTGAACAAGTGGACTTTGTCCTCAGCTGTCCTAAGGCACAGCCTCTGTCCTCAGGTGCCCCCTCTTCCAAGAAGCCTTCCCGGAACACCCAATTCTCCCACTTACCCCTCCCCCTGCCAACTTCCTTTCCCGTCCTAGCATATCTCACGCTGTTCCTTCATTCCTCTGGGATGCTGAGGAGGCAGCAATGTCCCAGGCATCGTGTTCACGACAGCTGGGGTGGTCCCAGCTCTCAGAAATGCACATTCTAGACAAAGAGCACTTAAAATGATAGATCATGATGATCAGTGCCGATAAAGAAATGAATAAGATGGTGTGATAGTGACGGGGTGGGGGCATGGCGAGGGGGAAGTGGGATCCACTGTAGGTGGGAGAGTCAGGTGAGGTGTCTCTGAGGAGGTGACATTTAAGAGTCGAAACCGTGTTGTCACTGCCGGGGGCCCGCTGCCTTCCCCAGCAAAGGGCAGACTCCCAGAGGACTGTCAGTGAGTGGATGTACAGACCATATTCTAGAGCTGCTGGTTTTGGTCCTACCTTCTGTCCCTCGGGTCCTTTACCTAGTTATTTTAATTTTTTTTTTTTAATGTAAGTGTATTTCTCAGAACACAAATGCGTAATCCAGCAAAGAGCCATAGAACCTGCTCCAGGCAAGGTCATGGCTCCTTCCAGGTGTGTACAGGTTGTTGATGTCTTAAGGGACACAAGAGGTAGCACCCTATTCCCACTTGTGTTCTATATAAAATTGAGACACAAGACAAAGACTAAGGCAGGTACAGGTGGAAATATCATCTGTCTTACTGTTAAAGGCTAGCTCAGAAGATAGGAATTAGCATGAGAGCCAGATGGGCTTGCTAAACATCCCAGAATTAAACAGACTCAGTCACACGATCACAGGTGTCCCTGGGGGGTTCCTGGCAGCAGCCTACCTGGAGGAGCAGAAGTGGGGCTCCCCGAGCAGAGCTGAGCCAAGCCTGCCCGGTGGGGTGGATTCCCAGTTCACCCCGGAGGGGACGAGGAGAGGGGTGGAGTGAGGCAGGGACTACATGGAGGAACTAGCTGCATGGGGGGTGGGGCAGGGCGTTTCCTCCAATGCACGCTGGTTTGTGACCCATTGTCACACTTAAGGTAGATATTGTCAGAGAAGGAAAAGTGGGGATTTGATTTGGTGGAAGGAATGGGTGGCCTGAGCCGTGGCCAAGGACACAATGCAGGTTCAGGGGAGCCCAGAGAGTCTGCAGCCCCGTGAAAAGGCTGCTTTGCTGAGGTGCTGGGTCTCCCGAGGGGATGGGGGAACAGACCCGGGGTGGAGGGTCTCAAGTGCCTGTCTGGGAAGATGGGCTGAGTCTCACCAGCGCTGTAGAAGGAGGAGAGGGACAGGATGAAGGATGGGTTGAGAAGGTCCCGAGGTTTCCTGAGCCGAACTCAGCAGCCCACCCACCGTGAGTTCACCTGACCGCACATGCTTCCCCCATTCTAGCCTGTCTCTTTCATTCCATTATGTGCTTTACCCCTCCCGACTTCCTTAAGAAGTAGGAACGGTCCATATCCCTATTTTACAGATGTGGAAACTGAGTCTCCACAGTGAGTTCATCCAGGTTTCTGCAGCCAGGCGGTGGTGGATCCAGCACTTCAAACTAAAGCTCTATCTCTTCTTCGTCTTTGACAGGGAATATTCTCACGGAACATGGTTATTTCCCACGGTTGTGTAATGTTGGATGAACGTGCCTTGGCTCCCACATCTGTAAAATCAGGATTGAGACAATGATAACCCACTAGTCACCGGATTTGTGAGGAACAAATGGATTGGAAGGTGCTTTTTAACTTTGGAGTGGGCTCCAGTGCCCATTTCCCCAATAATGGAGCAACACATAGGCTACCTAATCCCGGCCTCATGGAGAAAGGCAGCCAAGAGTCATTTGTCAGCTGTGACCTTTTCATGACAGGCCATCTTCACAAATGGCTATCTCACTGTGGCAAGTGCCAATAAAATAGGCACTCCCCAGTCAGCGGCTTTGATGTTCCTACTGAAGTCGGTCGACTGCATCTCTTAGCATCCGTGGCAATTGTTCAGATTTTTTATTTGCAGGGTGATTGCACAGAAATGACAGCCCCTGGGGGGTGCCAGCAGCTGACAGTTGTTTGACTGTGCTTCGGGACTGGGAACCCCTTCCTAGCTCATGTAGCTATCAAGATGGAGCAGGGACCTAATGGCCACTGTCCCAAGACCCACTGTTAAGCCCCTGCGTGGCTGGCAGCATGCTGTCCCCAAAGGGACTGTGGCTTCACAGCTGGGGTTGCAGAGCGTGCTGGAAGCACCTGCCAGGTGCCCCCTTTCTTTACGAGAATCTGCAGCCCTCAGCCCCAGGTTGATATGTCCCTGGTCTGGACTCTGCCATCTGGAGAGGTCGGCAGAATTGCCCAAGGTCACGCCATCAGTGAGTGGTTGAGCTGGGGCTCCCACAAGGAGCTCCCACGTCTGCTTCCATCACCCATGCCCTTTCCATCATGGTGCTGGGTCCGCAGTGACAGCGAGAAGGCTTCAGCCTCCCAGCAGGGCTGTTTGGTCCTCTTCCCCGCGTCCCCTCCCTTTCTTCCACCTCTTTCCTTTTCCTTGCCGTGCTCAGCTTTCCCCTTTCCCTCATTCTCCTTCACTTCCTCCTCTAGAACATTTTGTAGCCTGTTCTCTGGGCCGGGCACTGTTGCAGGATCCTGCACTTGAGATGTTCACGGTTTTAGACGAGCAGCAAGTTTGTACATCGACCGTTTACAAGTTCGCCTCCTGCTTTCACATAGAAGCCACCTGACTATGCTGAGCTCCGCCTTGAATGAGTGGTATGTGACTCATTCAGAAAGAATTGTACGACTGATTCAGGGAGGAAAAGAGAGACAGGCAGGGGGATGAAAGTGAACTTCCTGCCTGCCCACCTTTTCTGTCCAGCTGATGGGTTATCAGCTCTGGTCAGAGGCAGCCATCCTGAGTGGCTGTTGTGCACCTGTGACACTCCACAGACATCCCAGGCCTTCTGATGGGCTCCTTACAAATGCACAGATGCATGATTTTCAACCTGGAGGACTCTGGAGGGCATGTACATTTTAGAATAAGTTAATCAAGTTCCAAGATAAATTTCTGTTGGATTGCACTAAAATTACAGGTTAATTTGAGAATTGTCTTCCCCTCCAAAAAGGTGGAATGTTTCTTATTTTATGTGGATCTTCTTTTAAGATCTTTAATAGATTTTATATTTGTTTCCATTAAGTAGGGTGAACATCCATCTCGATATGCTTGGGACAGTCCCAGTCTCCCCTGTCATCCCCATGTCCCTTCCCGTTAGCTCTTCCTTTTACCCTCAACTTGGGCGATAAATCATAGGGTCACCTTATGGATAAGGTATACATATACATACGGTCTTGTGTATTCTTTTTGATGATTCCCAGATACATGATAGGTTTAGTTGCAATTGTGAGTTATTACCTATTTTCAGTTATGTTTTGGGCTTATTTGATACTGATGTAAAGAAATGTTGCTAATTTTTATAAGTCTTTCCAGACTCCCTTATTCTATCTCTGGAGCCAGACTGCTGGGTCCAAAGTCCCTATGTCTGTCACTTACAGCCCTGTGACCTTGAGCAAGTCACTTGACCACTCTATACCCTAGCGTACTCGTCTTTCAAGTGTGGAGGATAGGTACACCTGCCTCTTAAGATTCTCGTGAGGATGTGCCTGTTGATTTTTTGCATTTGGTCGTAATGTCTACAAATAATCACAGCTTCGTAGCCTCCTTTCTGACTCTTACGCCTCATTTCTTTTTCTTAGCAGTGTTTCAATGTCCTTGTCTGCTTATTCCATCCTCTCTCTCATTTCCATTGGTTGATTTTTCCCTGGATTATGGATAGTTTCCTTCTTCTTTGCATGCATGGTAATCTTTGATTGGATGGTAGGCATTGTAGATTTTACATGTTGGGTACCGGATTTTGTATTTTCTTTAATAGTGGGGTTTGGACATGTAGGTATGTTCTTTTGGATTAATTTTATCCTTTCAAGACTTGCTTTTTTTTTTTAACATCTTTATTGGGGTATAATTGCTTTACAATGGTGTGTTAGTTTCTGCTTTATAGCAAAGTGAATCAGTTATACATATACATATGTTCCCATATCTCTTCCCTCTTACGTCTCCCTCCCTCCCACCCTCCC